CGGGGCGGAAGGTGACACCGGAGCACTCGGCTGCGAGATGGGCGGTGTTGGCGGTTGGTGTGCTGGTAGTGCTGTTTCTTGGTCGGCTGGGGCCCCGACGGGAACCTAACTTCGCTGGGCCAGGTCGTCCGGTAGCTGAGGTGGAGTGGGAGTCTCCGGGGTGTCTGAGTCCTTGCAGTCCTTGGGGTCACGTGGCAGTACCTGTCATCGCAGCTGTTTGATGTGGCGGGGAAGTATCCGGCCGTCTTCGCTGGAGACGTGGTAGGACCTGGGTCCCCGGACTCTCACCACCTGGGCCGGAATCCATGGTGGGCCTTGCGCATAGTTCTGGGCGTAAACCGAGTCCTCAGTGGAAAACCCTTTGGCTGCCTCAGGTGACTCTGTGGGCGGTTCCTCTTCCGGCGCTCGATCGGGATGGAGGCGGTCCAGCCGGGTCGTCAGGCTCTGTCCTAACAGGAGCTCCACTGGGCTGTGTCCCATCGCGGTGTGGGGTGTCATTCTCTGGCCAAAGAGGAATGCGGCCAGTTTGTAGTCCCAGTCCTTGCTGTCCAGGCGACGGAGTGCCTCCTTGGTCGTCTGAACCATGCGTTCGGCTTGGCCGTTGGTCGCTGGGTGGAACGGGGCCAATCTGACGTGGCGAATTCCGTAGTGACGGGTGAAGTCCTGGAATTCGCTAGAGGTGAAGGCCATGCCGTTGTCGGTGACCAGGGTGTCGGGAATACCCTGGTCACTGAAGATGTGCCACATGGCCCGGATGGCGGCTCTCGAGGAAGTGGATGGTACCGGAACAACCTCGAAACATTTTGTTAGATCGCGCAGACAAAGGATCGGAGAATGATTTCAGCTCAGTGATTCAGCTTTATTTGAAGTAGCAAGCAAACACTCAAACGCATTCCAAAACCAGAACAACCAAACAGTAGGAGCTATGCTCCTTTTAAACATTACCGGGCTAATATAGTCACGCCTATTTACATTTAACAACCAATGAGATTGATGAGTTAAAGACCAATGGGAGTCTTTCCCTCCCGGGGAATAGCACCGTTCTGATTGGTCGCTGTTACAAAGCGACCAATAGGGAATTCGTTCAGAGGAGCCCTAGCTTGGCTCGAAGCTTAACATGGGAGTCCAATGAGGTGATTCATATAATTGTTCCAATACATTACACATTTGCTGTACGCGTCCATGAGTATAAAGAATATTTGACCCTGGAATGGCCCCACGAAGTCCAACTGGAGCCGAGACCAGGGCTTGTGCAAGGACTCCCAGGCTCTAGCGGGAGCCCGGGGAGGCTCGGGCTGGGATTCTTGGCAGGGCTGACACCTCTTGACCCGGTCCTCGATGTCCCGATCCAGCCCCGGCCACCCATAACTTCTGGCCAAAGCTTTCATCCGGACCACCCCAAGATGTGTCTCGTGGAGCGCCGTGAGGACCCTTTCCCGTAAAGGGGCTGGGAGCACCACTCTGCCGCCCCACATCACGCAGCCTTTGTGGGCCGACAGCTCATCCTTGCGGGATGCAATGGCCGTGAAGTCCGCCCCCCGAGAAGTACCACCCTGGAGAAGCACCATCGGCCAAAACCCCCTCTGCATCGTCCCAATACGCCAGCTGTGGAGAAGCGCACGAACGCCGAGTTTGCCGCTTCAGGGACGCCGTCTGCCGTTCCTGCAATCAGTTCTTTTATTTTATTGGGTGTTACAGGAGGCCAGTCAGGTAAGTCCTCAGACAGAAAGTCTGGGGGTTCCATGGTGCTGGCATCATCCTGAGGGAATAATGACCCGGAAGGAGAGATCCCTGGTGGCTGGCAGCGGGAACAACAGGCGACTGTCGTACTGCAGGAGGCGCGTGGTGACGTCACCCGAGGGCGCGGAGGAGCCAAAGGGACATAGCCGGGACTTGAGGAGGACGCCGCCGGCGCACCGGATCGCAAGTGCAAGAGGATTCAGTCCAGGAGGATGCAAATAATAAATGGAAAGAAGTCTGAAGAAGTAAGCAGTGACTCATAATCCACCTGGGGTGCCGGTAGGCTGTCCCATTCCCCGTGGAAAAATGTGGCCTTAGTTAGGGTTAAAATTGTGACTAGCACCCTTCATGTAAACCGCCCAGAGACCCCTACGGGGGTTAGGGCGGTATATCAAGTTGAATAAATAAATAAATAAATAAATGACGAAAAACATTGAAACCACACTTGGGAAAAGACTGCAGACATAGAAGGGGTCTCCGCACGACACGCCCCCGAAACTATGGCCCAACATTTTTTGGAATTGTTTAAAATCGTGGCCTGGTATAATTGTTCCCACTGTGTATTAATATATTCAATCTTTTTTCTGTTCATACTCTTTTGTAGCTGGCTCTTAACTTTAAAGTATTCTATCAGAAAATATGGGTCAGTGGAGTCACAGTATTGTCTAAAGACATTGCGTGATTGGGTTTTTAAGTATCTTCATTCCCTATCAAACCAGCCATTTATAGGTCTACTACTCCCCCTATTTCCACTCTCAAGTTCTTTGCAGAGGGGGGGGGGAAGAAAAGCTCTATTCGTGAAGCTCAACAGTTCACAGTTTTCTGTTCAACATTTCAAGAGAAGAAAAGTATTCCCCTCAAGATGGAGGTGTGGCTTGTTTCTGGCACAGCGAACCATCTTTTTGTGGTGAGCCAAGGCAGAAGGCCTTACAAACTCCTGAGAAGGAATTCGGGCTGAATTGGTTTGATCTTTTCTAAAGGGCCCGGCCAGACTTGCAAGGACAACTCATTACAGCCTGTCATTTCTTTTTGCGATTGGCTCAGTTGCTGCTTCAATTAAAATGGGCAAACCAAGATTGAAATTCATTCCTGTCACTGCTCACCCAGGCATTTTAACTAGTGGACAGGATATGACCCACCCATCTCCAAGGAAATCGGAGGCACCCACAGTTTGCCTAATATCCTGATGAGAACCAGTGTCAGGGCTGTAGCCAGGAGTTTTCGTTTTGTGGGGAGAATTTTTTTCTTGTGGTGCACCTAGTGTAGCAGGAGGCAGGATTTAGGGAGGCGCAGAGAAACGTCCAGACGACGAGCGAGAAAGGCAAAGTCAGGCCCAGCTGCGAGGTGTGCTTCAAAAAGGGCTGGGCCCCGGATTCTCTGTGCCTCTCCGATTAAAGAGCACTCTCCAGCAAAGCAGCAGGGGGGGGGACGAGAACAGTCAGAGACGAGGAGCAAAATCCCAGTGTGTACCTCCCCTCCCCTTTCTTCTCTCTGCTTCACTAGTATGCTTATACTTTTACTTAAAAGTAATAAATAACTGGAGATTTTGTGAGTGGAGCCTGAGGAGTGCGGGGTTTGGGGAGGGGAGGGACTTCAATCGGATATGATGCCACAGAGTCCACCTGGAGATCAGGTGTAATGCCAGAGGACCTCCAGCCACCACCTGGGGATTGGCAACCACAGAAGGGAGAGATTGGCTTCCCCACCACCATCACCATGCCTTCACCCTCTCTCTTTCCTTCCCCAGCATCCCCACCCTCCAAGCCAATGCTCCCTCCAAGCTGCGGAATCTTGAGAGCGAAAATTCGACTTTGTGAGTTACTGGCATTCAAGTTGTGAGCGAGTGATTTGGCTACTGCATAACTTAGTTTGCTCTGGAGCGGAAAAGTACGCAGACGGACGATTGATTTCAGCTTAGCGTACTTTATTAGATCAAGAACAAGACAAAGTAGCCAGCTCGCAGGCCGGCTTATATCCCCAAAAATCTACCACCCAGAACAACCCCCCTCACTTCTCAATAGGTCCTAACTAGTGGCCAAGAGTCTCATAGGCTCTCGGCCCGGAGCGTAGCCCTCTGGTTGGTGCGGGCTAGGATCCGCATCATCCTTTGTTTATCGGAGCGAAGCTCGACGCTTGCTCTTGACCGTGTGGTGCCCAAGCTGACCACGCGGTCAGAACTTGATACATTACAGGAGCCATCCTTCCTGAGCTAAGACACAAATGTGTGAGCCGGAGGCTAAAAAACTAAGCTAGCTCACACTAACTCGGCTTAGAGGGAACACTGCCCCCAGAAGCTGTTAGCTGCTGATCTGCTGGGAGTGAAACTGAGCAGAAGCTGCAGGGCGGCTTCCCTTTCTTTCCCCAGTCTTGCTGCCGCTGTGGGGCTAGGCACACTGGGGTGGGGGTGTCCGGCATCATCAAATGGTGGAGCAGGGCTCGTGGATGGTGGGGTCCCACCCCCAAATGCCGCACCGTGGCTACGGGCCTGACCAGTGTGGTAGTATAGATCCCACAAGAGAAGTCCTGGGTTCAAACCCTTGCCATAATACTCACTAGGTGGTTTGGGGCCGGTCACTCTGCATCAGGCTAGCCTACTGCACAGGGTCGTCTGAAGGATGAGGTAGACGGGAGAGGCCTTGCTCAGCCATGAAACTGTAATTGTGGGTGTCGCCCTGCCTCAGCCTGGCTTACCTCACAGGGTTGTCCTGAGGAGAGGGTGGAGGAAAGAGGCCTTTCTTGGCCATGAAACTGAGTGAGTGATCTTTGACCAGCCACTCCACCTCAGCCTGGCCTACCTTGCAGGGTTGTTCTGAGGAGACAGTGGAGAAGAGAGGCCTTGCTCAGCCATGAAACTCGCTGTGTGATCTTTGGCCCACCACTCCACCTCATCATGGCCCACTTCGCAGTTTCTCTTTTCTTTAGTCAAGTGGTGGAGACTTGTGGAGCTAAGTGTCCATTTTGGACTTACTTTAACTGATGGTGCACGTGCCTGCTTGTGCCAGGTGGCAGCGGGGTGTTTATCAAAGCCACGGATACTGTGAACCGAGATGATGACGCCTGGAGTAATGCTGCTTTGTGAAGCGCGGGACGTTCCTTGAAGGAGGCTCCTGCCAGTGACCTTTGGATGGTTCCTCATTTCTGCTTCAGCCGGCGCCTCTTTTCTATAATCATTAATTGACGCGGCACGTCGCAGGAGCGTGTGGTTGCCGTGTTCAGCTGCAGCTCGGCGTGGGGAGAGGATTCTGCATCAGCGCTGAACGATGTCTACCCGGTACCACCAGGCAGCCGCCGATGGCAACCTGGAGTTGCTGAAAGAAGCCACCCGAAAAGATCTGAACACCTCCGACGTGGATGGGATGACGCCCACCTTGCTGGCCGCTTATCACGGACACCTGGAAGCGGTGGAAGTCATTTGCCGAAGAGGGTGAGTGGACCTAAATAGAACTGGAGGGATTGAAAGTGTACCCTCGTTTCTGGAAAAACTGAATTTTTATTTTTTAAAAAAGAACTGGTTTGAGTTTGGTGGGATGATCTTTGCAAAATAGCACCACTAGAGAGGCACAGATTTATATTATGTTGACTAGACTAGGCTTTGAGCCTGCTTGGTGTAGCGGTTAAGTGCGTGGACTCTAATCTGGGAGAACGGGGTTTGATTCCCCACTCCTCCACTTGCACCTGGCTGGATGACCTTGGGCAAGCCATAGTTCTGATAAGAGCTGTCCTTGAAAAAGAGCAGTTTGTGTCAGAGTTCTCTCAGCCCCACCCACCTCACAGGGTGTCTGTTGTGGGGAGGGGAAGGGAAAGGAGTTTGTAAGCCGCTCTGAGCCTCCAAGTGAAGGGTGGGGTATAAATCCAATCTCTTCTTCTTCTCTTCTGCTCTCCCTTCCTTCTGGGATTCCACATTTCTTTAAGTTTCAGATTTCTGACGGATTAACTCTTATTAATTGAATGGAGGGGGAGATATTCCTCCTAAGAAAGGTGGCATGACATTGGGCCAGTATCCCAATGCCATGATGCATCTGATCTCCCCTGTCCTCTCCCATATTATGGAAGAGAGGGCCACACATACTAGGAATGCAAGTAGACAGAGTGGTTAAATTGCTGGACTCTCAGCCTGACCTCCGTCACAGAGTTGGTGATACGAGCATAAAATGGAGAAGAAAGCCACTTTTGGTCCTGACTGGGGAGAAAACTGGCGTAAATAAATAATACGTTTTAATCAGGTTGTTTCTGCCTTGCTTGATTGTTACTGTTTTATATTCATTTTCATTACTGTACATATTTTGCTGATTTAGGTCACCCTTATTTATGCGTTTCAACAGGAAATACATTTTTATTTATAACTGTGACTATTTCCCTGCCTTTGGGACAAATCCCCGAGCGGCTGGACCCTGAGGAACCTCCCTACCAAATTTCAGGCAGATGGGGAAAAGAATCCCTGTTTTCAAGGCAATTAAATCCTCACCCAGTAGACAGAGGAACAATGCTGTTGTACGAATGAGTTTTCCCTCCTTCCCTAGGATCTTTAGGTGAGAGGCTGGGGGGGGGGGATATCCGTTTCTCCATAAAAATAGAGCATGCGGGCAGTTTAACACTCTAAACAGTTAAACTCTAAGCTGTGGCCCAGTGGGGGAGCCTCTGTTTGGCATGAAGAAGGTCCCAGGTTCAGTCCCCAGCATCTCCAGTTAAAGGATCTGGCTGTAGGTGATGTGAGAGACCTCTGCCTGAGACCCTGGAGAGCCGCTGCCAGTCTGAGTAGACAGTACTGACGTTGATGGGCCAAGGGTCTGAGTCAGCAGAAGGCAGTTTCATGTGTGTTCACGTGTGAATCTTAACATCTACATTTGTGTAAGGTAAAGGTAAAGGTTCCCTTGCTCGAAAGCCAGTCGAGTCCGACTCTAGGGTTGCGGTGCTCATCTCCGTTTCAAAGCCGAAGAGCCAGTGCTGTCCGAAGACGTTTCCGTGGTCATGAGGCTGGCATGACTAAACACCGAGGCGCACGGAACGCTGTTCCCTTCCCACCGAAGCGGTACCTATTTATCTACTTGCAATGTCTTGCTTTCGAACTGCTAGGTTGGCAGGAGCTGGAACTAGAGACGGGAGCTCACTCCGTCATGCGGCACACTCGGGTCTTGAACTGCTGAACTACTGACCTTCCACAGCCTGCAGTTCAGCGTCAACTGTACAAGCCAAGAATAGTGTGGTATAACGGTTTACAGTGTGTCAGACTAGAGTCCAGGGGACCCAGTTTGACTCACCCCTCTCCCATGGAAACTCACTGGGTGACCTTTGGCCAGCTCACTGAATCTAATCTACTACGCAGGGTTATTGTGAGGATAAAGGGAGGAGGGAAGAACAATATTATGAGCCACTTTGTGTCCCCATTGGGAAGGAAAGTGGGGCATAAATGGGTTTCCTTTGTCATCTCCCGCAGGGCTGGTTCATTGCCTCTCCCTGTCACAGGTCGCACAGCATGTCCCCCGTCGCCTGTCTGCACAGCCCAGCCTACCTGCCTGTCAGCGAGTACCAAGCACACTTTGCTCCAGCCTACTGGGTGCAGCCTCTGTTCATGAAATAGCTCCTACAAATAGGACCCAGGCTAATAGAGAATCAGAAAACCCTCCCAGAGCCATTAAGGCAAGCTGTTATGTGACAAGTGCTTTCAACATTTGAAAGTACTATGGAAATGCCATTATTGTTATGCTTAGCCCATCCATTTTCTACCAAAAAAGAAAGAGCAATGTGTAAAATGGATTCTTTGTATCTGAGAAGGGAGAGATGAACAGAGCAACGCTGAAAGAATTTAGAAAGCGAGAAGCACTGGGACGTAAATGGCAGGCATCAGTAAATGATGTTTCATTTCTGGCTTTTGGGTATGGCCTATAGTTTTATTTGCTGTATTTTATTGCCAGTAACATTGACCTTTAGACAGTGTGATTGCTTTTCCTAACGTACAGGTCTGTTCCTCTGTGATTACAGGAAGCACAGCTTCACAGAATCTGTTCCTTGCTCATTAGGAGGAAAAAATATAGCTTATAAAGTAGTTTGCTTCTTGTCTAGGCTTTATCACTTCAGCCTAGACACCTGACTTTTTGCATAAAACAACCCCTGCCTGTAGCAAATGAGCATTTCAGGGAAAAAGCTAGGCTACAATCCTTCCTACTGTCATCTAGCTCTCAGAGAAGCAGTAGACGTCTGTGTGGGCTGTACTATTTCAGACTTGATTTGCTGGGCATACAAAAATAATCTCTGTATATAGAAAACTAGCAACTCAGGGAGACAGCAACCAGCCTAAAGTTACTCAGCAAGCTTCAGGGATTTGAATGCGGGCCTCTTCTGTGAACACAGAATTAAATTCTGTTGAATTTCAATTCCATTGAATTCCAATTCTGTTGAAATATGTGGGAGCCAAATTGCTGTGAATTATGGGGAATTATGATCTTACACAAGGCAATAGGTGAATAAGGGAGCAAGCACCTATGTATACAGGGGTCCCGCTTCTTCCAGACACACCAAAAATATATGCTGAGACTGACATCAGTATAAGATGGTTTTGTTTACTGAAGGTATTTCAAACATACAGCAACACAAGCACACACAATTATACAGCATCTAGGAAATATAGATAGAAGAGAATAGCACATTCGCATTAGCAGGGTGTTCCGTTGAGGGGCAATACCTTACCTGTCCGCAGTCAGAAGGAGCGAACCTCAGAAAAAGGAGGGGGGCTATGGGGTGTGTGTGGGGGAATCATGTCCTGAACCGGCAGAGGCACGAGGAGACTCTGGCTGCGCAACCAGGAGTCGGAAGCTTAGGGTGAGGGTAGGAGGGGGTCAAGAGAGAATGCAAGAGAGTGAGATGGTGCTAGGTGCCCTCTTTTATAAGGAGCTTGAGGGGTGGGCTAGGCTTGGCCGCCTCTCTTGGCACACCTCCTGCTGGTCCGTCCCCGAAATCATGCTGACTGGCACTGGGGTCGAAGGTCTAAGGGGGTGGACAATGTTGGACCTAATGAAAAATTAGTCTGGACAGTGGCACCTGATGGGGTTATGACTCATGTGACCAGAGCCATTGTTCCCTGGTTGTCTTATGGCTGTATTTTCGACTAGGTGACATATTAGGTGGGGAAAGAGAATGTTGCCTACGTGCAAGGAAGAGGATTCTTCGTGGAATTTGAGTCCCCTGTCTTCTGCCCTGGCATGGCAACTGCCTGGCTTTGCAGTGCTAGACATGGCTAGGGAACTGGTCCATCTTACTGTAGGTAAGAGGGTTGGTAACATACAGGAACCATAGGCACATCATCTCACAGGAAGGCTTCCTTCTTCTGGGTGTGTGTCTATACCTGGCATCACTTGGAGTCCCCTTACAGTTCAGTCCCTTTTGCACACAACTAGCAAAGTTCAGATTTTTTATCACTTATGAGTTCGTAAGAGCGCTATAGGCGCCTTGTAGGGCAACATATGGAGGGGCTTTCTTCCAAGGAAATATGCACAGGATTGATCTGAATATCTTTTTCCTTAATGCACCCAGACTTTATAAAGGAAAACATGACTTTTTAAAAAAATGCTGAAGCAACACCTTACTTGTGTTTCCCCACTTTTGAAAAGCACCCAGGAACCAGCCAACCAGACAAAAGGAATAGTCTGAGAGCAAAGGGACTTGGCAGGTGGGGGGCGAGGGAGAGATTGATTTTGTCAGAATTAAATAAAAGGGCAGTAAAGTTTAAATCTATAGAGCCAGTACTCTCTTCCTATTAATGAACATACAAGAGGCTACCATGGATACAGAGAGTGTGTCTAGGAGGAATTGATGTGAAGGAAGGAAGCAGAGGTCATTTTGGGGGGGATCGCGGGGGATCACAGTTCCCCCGGGTGAGGTACGGGGGCGGGGCACATGACGAAGCCCCGCCCCCTGCTTCCGGCCGCCCCACTTCCAGCCCTCATTCAGCCAGGAGGAGGCAGGAGAAGAGGGAGGGTAAGTTGCTTCCTCCCTGCCTCTCCCCACCCCTGTCTGCCTGCCTGGGGCCAGGGAGGGCCTTCGCGGAGCTTCCTTGCACTCCCGCCAGCCTTGCAGGTCCATGGCCGGGCCCCTCATGGGGCTCGGCAGTGGAGCTGCAAGGCCAGCGGCGGCGGCCAGGACCATTGGGGGTGGGGTGTGTGGCCTTATGACACACTTCCGGTGATGTCAGGGGGTGTGGCCTTATGACACTCTTCCAGTGATGTCAGGGGGTGTGGCATAGGCTAATGAGTTGTGCTAATGAGTCCCCCTAGCTCTTTTTCTACGAAACGACCCCTGGAAGGAAGTATTCAGAAGGAAAAACCCACAAATCTGGTTTGCCAGAGGGGAGGAAAAGAGAAGGGATGGGACCTCGCTTGTAGGCAGATAAACCTGTTGGGGGAGGAGGACTAACCCTGCCACTCGGATATCAACAAAGGGAGGTTTGACTCTCCAAAGCTCATACCCTGAAAATCTTGTCGGCCTCTGAGGTGCTACTGAACTCGAATGTAGCTCCCACGCCACTCCCCGTTCCATCGCTTTGATGGTTTGGAGAAACATCCCACAGCAGGCTTGGTTGGTCAGTACAGAGGGGACGTCTCGTGATGCAATCCACACATTACAGTTCACCCATTAGAAAGTCCAGCTGGCTGGTATGTAGACATGGTCCCGAACCTCTGCACTGAGAACTCAGTTCCTAAGAAAGCGAACCTCATTTTATGGGGGACTGTGGCCTGCAGGATGAAGGGGTTGAAATCTTCCCTCGCTCCACTGGTTTCCTGACCTGAAATGGTCCTGGGAGCTGGTTTGCTGTTGGGGAAACTTACACGAACCAATAGCTACGAGTTCGTTTTCCACTTTCCCTGCACGCTGTAATCCCCCTTCAAATCAGGCCCTGCCTGGAAATTTAATTCCTAACGCAGAACTACAGGACATCCAAAGTCTTCATGGCGGCGACGTGGACTTTGTAATGTGTGAAGCCCAGGGGTAGAACCTGACCCCTGCACACCTCCAGGAGACTGATTTGGCTGAGGTGTTAGAACGAACTGCACCCCTTCAGAACTGCAAAAGGCAGATTCCAGGTCTGGATATTTCTTCCCCTAAAAAAGCTCCATGCAATTAGAAAAACAGCACCACAGGGAGGAATGCTTGGCTATACTGCCTTTCTGCCTGCACACAGACCTCAAAGACCATGGAATGATATCCCAGAACAAGTTTTAGTGGACTAGAGTCTTAGCCAGGGATCATTTTGTAGAAAAAGAGGTGCAGGAGCTCATTAGCATAACTCATTAGCATAACTTAATTGCATATGCCACACCCCCTGACATCACCGGAAGTGTGTTAGAAGACAACACCCACCGCACAGGCTCCACTGGACTGTTTTGGATTGCTAGCTATGGGGGGGGGGGGAAACGTGCAGATCTGTCCCTCACAGAGGAAGGAGAGCTTGTACCTGAATCAAACCTGGTCTTAAAGGTGCCACTGGACTGTTTTGGACCGGGGGACGGGGGGGGGGGAGCTTGTTGCATGTGCCCGCCCCCTGGGCTCTTTACTGCCGGAGCTCCGCTCCTGTCCGCTCCTGCAGGAAATGAACCCTGGTCTTAGCACAAATACCTTTTGGGAACCGTGACCTGGATGTCCCAAGCTAGTCAGATCTTATCAGATGGTTAGTACTTGGATGTGAGACCACCAAGGAAGTCCAGGTCACTGTGCAGAGGGCAGGCAATGACAAACTACCTCTGCCTTGAAAACCCTGCAGGGGTCGCAACAGGCTGGCTGTGGCTTAACACTTCCCACCACCACCTCTTGGGAACGTTAGCCTTCAAGGTCACTCAAAAACTGTGGCTTGTGCAAAAAGGCAGCAGCCATGTTTTAGGTAGCACAGGGAGACTCTGATTTTACAGCTGTTGTACTGACTGCTGATGTAGTTTTAAGCACAATTCAAGGCAGTGGTCTGGGAGGCCGATATCTAAGGGACCCTTCTTCCCGGATAGAGAATTGCTTGCAGACTCTGCTGAGTCCAACATTGCTGCAGCTAAAACCTACCTCCACAATGTTTCTGGTTGGTTTGTTTTTAAACTTACAGTGAGTTGTGTTGAGGAGCAGAAGCATTTAATGGTTCTACTACCCGTAGTCCTCACTTTGCCACCTCATTCAGGTGCATGCATAGATCATGCTGTAGAAGAAACCGGATCTGAGGTGTCCTGCTGCAGCAGCCTTCCTGACCCCTAAACAGACATAGGTCTGGTCAGATGGGACCTTGGGAGGAAACCTGCGTATGCCTCCTTGCATTTCATGCTGGAAAAACAGCATGAATGCATTATACATCAACTCTACAGAGAAGGTGCGTTCTAGGTTCATGACTCTATCTTTTGTGTTGTGCTTTCCCAGAGGTGATCCAGACAAGTGCGACATTTGGGGGAACACCCCTCTCCACCATGCAGCCTCCAACAGCCACATCCATTGCATTTCCTTCTTGATCAACTTTGGTGCCAATATCTTTGCCCTGGATAACAACATGCGATCTCCTCTGGACGCAGCTGCCAGCAGGAACCACTACGAATGTGTCCGCATCCTTGACAACGCTGCTATGGAGATGAATATCAAGAACCCCAAAAGAACCGCCCGCCTGAAGGCCCAAGCCCAGCGTGATGCAGAGAAGCAGATCCAAGAATGTGAACGACGCCAAGAGAGACATGAGCATGAAATGATCAGGCATTACAACAGGACGCACGCTGCAGGAGGAACAACCACCCGGATGCGCGTGTCGAATTTTTTTACCTCCAGCTCATTAGGGTCGCTACCCAAACATTTGAAGGACACCTTCAGGCGAAGGACAAAAAAGGAGGAGGAGGATCTAGATAACCAGGGCACGGGGCACAGTAGCCAAGCAAACAACATTCCAGTAGGCCGAACAACCGTGATGGCCGTGTTCAGCGAAAACGAGGAAGACGAATTAGAAAACCAAGGCACAAATGGTATTTCTGAAGAGGAAGAAAAGTCCATTTTTAATCGCCCCGGTCTTGGTAATATTGTTTTTCGAAACCACTTGGCCACAGGCATAACCGCTGCCCCCGTGTTGCCCGAGAAAGAAGAGGTCAGTTTCCAAATACCTGACAGACTGTTTCAGTTCAAAAGGGCTGAAGAGGTTGATGACCCAGATCTGGGGAACGATCCCGAGGAACCTTGGATCGAAGAAGAAATTGGCTGGGATGATGGCAACACGGAGACCACCCCCCTCGAAGTCTTTCTGGCATCCCTGGACCTGAATGAATTCCTTCCTGTCTTGATAAGAGAAAACATCGATTTAGAGACACTCGTGCTGTGTTCCGATGAAGACCTCCGGAGCATACAGATGCAGCTGGGTCCGAGGAAGAAAATCCTCCACGCGGCGGACAGAAGGAAGCAAGCATTGGCAAAGCCGGGCAAGGCGGAAGACACCAATCTGTAACTTATAAAGCTCCCTAATTCAATCGATTTTTGTGGTTTGGTGGACCTTGTGTTAAGAGGTTGGGTAAGAAGATTCAGGGCCAAGCCCATGGAGTTGCAGAGGAGGGTTGGACACCGGCCAGTCTTTAGAAGAACGGATGTAGTCATTAGATTTTTCTTTTCGGAATAACAAAGACAAATCAGGAAAAAAGTATATCTGTACAAGAATAACCACGACAACAGAGACTATAGGAAGATATTTAAAAACTTTCCTCTACGGAGCTTGGGGTAGCTAAGGGGCTCCTTCATTTTATCCTCACTAGTCAGGTTTTCCTGAACAGCTATGGAGTCCCCCAGGTGGGCAGCGATTGTACAGCTTTTGTCATCAGTTTACAGTTAGAGTGAGGATGATGGACACCTTACTCATCATAACACTTTGGTATGTAATGCTCCAAGCCACTATCCCTGGCACAAAACCTAAGGCCCAGGTTGCACTATGTACATGTCTGCAGACGCGCTTTGGCCTGAAAGTTAGTTCTACCCCAGCTCCTGGATACAATGAGAGCTGCAAAGCTCCAGCAATTAATTGGTTTAAAACCTCTTTGGCCATTAAGAAACCGCTTCTAATTATTTGGGCAGCAGGGTGGTGTTTTTTTTTTTTAAGTGTCAGTTACTTTCACTATTAAGTTCTTTATCAATGTATACATAGTAAGTGTCTTCTTGGAAGGGGCCTTCCTTCTCCTCTCTCACGTAGGAAAGAATGCCTCTTTTGGGATCCTGCATCAGCTAAATGGAGCTGCGGTGGCTCAAGTGGTTAAGACGCTGAACTGCAGGCTGTGGAAGGTCAGTAGTTCAGCAGTTCAAGACCCGGGTGCCGCAAGACGGGGTGAGCTCCTGTCTTTAGTTCCAGCTCCTGCCAACCTAGCAGTTCGAAAGCAAGAAATTGCAAGTAGATAAATAGGTACCACTTCGGTGGGAAGGTAACAGCATTCCGTGCGCCTTGGTGTTTAGTCATGCCGGCCACATGACCACGGAAACGTCTTCGGACAGCGCTGGCTCTTCGGCTTTGAAACGGAGATGAGCACCGCAACCCTAGAGTCGGACTCGACTGGCTTTTGAGCAAGGGAACCTTTACCTTTACTATCAGCTAAAGACAAAGGAGCTTTTCCTTCCAAACCGTTGCTTCGTTCATAGGCAAATGTGTGCAGTTTTCAGTGATCAACTCATACAATTAATCAAAAACCCAGTGGCACTCTACCTGAAATAGATCAGCTGCTGGTGTCTACTTCAAGCTCCACTCAGATGAAGCATCTGATGATGCAGCTTGTTCTGTGTTCTTCAGCAAGGAAAGCAGAGCCAAGGACTGGACTGGCTGTGAGGTTGGGAATCAATGTTGGGATTCCCCAATTGTGTAATATAACTGAAAAAGAGCTGTGGGCAATATTCCCTCTAAGCTGTGGAGTCCTGTGAGCAAAAATTCAATTTTGCGAGCTGCTGGCATTAAAAGTGGTGAGCGAGCGATTTGGCTGCTGCATCAATTAGTTTGCTCTGGAGCCCTCCGTCCTGAGCGAAGAGAAAAAGGCATGAGTTGAAGTTTAAAAAACTGTGAGCTAGCTCACACCGACTCAGCTTAGAGGGAACACTGGCTGTGGGATACGGAAAGCAGAGAGTCTTGCCCTGTGGCATTTTCGGAATAAAAAATGTCCCCCCTTCGATCCGCTTTAAGCCCCAGCTAGGCAAAAAAAGGTAACTGGATATTATGTCTTCGTTCCCCCCTCCCTAGGTTTAAAGGAGCTCCGAATTTTTTTTTAAGCAGCAACTTTTATTGCAGAAAATTACAGTGATACAAAATGTGGAGGAGGGGTTGTGGCTCAGGGGAGCAGCCTCTTCTTGGCATGCAGGAGGTCCCAGGTTCAATCCCCGGCATCTCCAGTTAAAAGGGTCAGAGGGCAGGTGACATGAAAGACGTTGACCTGGAGAGCCACTGCCTTTCTGAGTAGACCAGGGGTGTCGAACTCATTTGTTATGAGGGCCGGATCTGACATAAATGAGACCTTGTTGAGCCGGGCCACGTGTGTCACAAAAGGTAATGCCAGGTAGCGGAGATATAAACTATATAATGACACAAACACAAAGGATCCCCCCCCCTTAAAATAAAAACATGCTTAAAACATTGTTGTTGTTGTTCAGTCGCACAGTCGAGTCCGACTCTTTGCGACCCCATGGACCAGCTCCCTCCAGGCCTTCCGGTCTTCCGCCATCCTCTGAAGTTTGCTCAACTTCATGTTCGTTGCATCGATGACACTGTCTAACCATCTCATCCTTTGCCGTCCCCGTCTTCTTTGACCTTCAATCTTTCCCAGCATCAGGGTCTTCTCCAGTGAGTGCTCCCTTCTCATTTGGTGGCCAAAGTATTTGAGCTTCAGTTTCATTATCTGGCCTTCCAGGGAACAGTCAGGGTTGATTTCTTTGAGGATTGACTGATTTGTTCTTCTTGCAGTCCAAGGGACTCTCAAGAGTCTTCTCCAGCACCATAGTTCAAAAGAATCTATTCTTCTGCGCTCGGCCTTCCTTATAGTCCAACTCTCGCAGCCATACATGACTACTGGGAATACCATTGCTTTGACCATGCGGACTTTTGTTGGCAGGGTGATGTCTCTCCTTTTTATCATGCAATATTTTGTTTATTTAACAGTGGCTGATAACTGACACCTCTTGCTCTGAATGATTGCATCAAAATGCCTGTGCTGTTGCAAACTTGAATGTGCTGTTCAGGTGTGTGATCCGTAAGCTGCAAACCTATGATGATGCAGCAGCAGAACTGGAAGTGGCAGCAGCAGACAGCCAGTTCCACTCTGGGCCTGATAGAAGCCCTCCAGGGGCTTGATCTGGCTCCCGGGCTGCGTGTTTGACACCCCTGGAGTAGACAGTACTGACAAGGTTATGATTCAGTATGAGGCCGCTGAACAAGAGCAGCAGAAGCATTGTCTGTGGCATGGAATTCCTCAGCTTTCAAAGAGGTGTTCTGTGCAACCCAGAAGCTTGTGTACCACTGGAACAATAAAACTTGGTGTAGAAGTTCTCTCTTGGATGATTTGGTTCTGTGAGCTAACTCAGGCAACTTTTCCAGTGGAACTACAGAGAAACAAAGTACTAGACAGCTTGAAGCAGGTTCCAAATGACACTGGCCCATAGCCACAAAAATATGCTCAGCAGGTTGTAAGTTAGCCATCTCTACCTTTAGAATAAATCTGGGGAACATTTGAGTGAGAGAGCAGTTGGTGTTAGCTCCCCAAAAGCTGTCTTTGCAATGCTTTCCTAGTGTTTGAAGTGATGCAAAAGCCACACGTATCGTGATGCAGAAGGGGAAGGGATAGAAACTGCATTTTAAACCGCCTCCCCCAAAAGGTGCCCAACACTGCTGCCTTGGGTTTTGGGGCCATCTTTGCTCCCCCACCCACCCCCGCTCATTTCCTTCTTATCAGATTCAAGAAATGTTGGCATTTCTCAGGGAAACTGAGACTTAGCAGTTTGTGGGTTAAGGGAGATGGGGGGGGGAAGGTGCTGGTACAATTACACGAATGTCCAGCCTATTTGGCTGAGGCAGAATGGCCTGGTAGTTGTTTTTCCCAAAGATGTGTCCCCTGAGACAGTGTTGGAAGTCAAATGTATAACCAAACCTTGGACACAGCCTTTTTTGGCACCAGGGAACCCAGGCCTGTGTAAACCAAGGACAGGCTTCCAGTCAGCAAGCCCAGCTTCCAATCATGCTGAAGAAAATACGTTGCTACATCTCTCATAGGGGTTGATGGAATTGAGCCCAAGCATTACACCAGGACAAGAGGCCTTGCAGCATTGTCAGATACTTCAGGGACATCACAGATGGATCCCAAACGCACTTGATTTTTCCCATGTTGCATTCTTTAAGCTGTGTTTTCAATAATCTCACCCTTCAACCGATCACCTTGTGCACTTGGGAGACTGGCTGTTTATCTGGCTAGAACATAAGAACATAAGAGATGCCAATGTTGGATCAGGCCAAAGGCCCATCCAGTCCAACACTCTGTATCCCACAGTGGCCAGAAATACCAGGTGCCATCAGGAGGTCCACCAGTGGGGCCAGGACATTAGAAGCCATCCCACTGCTAGTGCAGGGTTCCCCAACCTTTTTGAGCTTGCAGGCTTGTTTGCAATTCTGACACAGCGTGGTAGGCGCAGCCACAAAATGGCTGCCACAGGAGGCAGAGCGAGCCACAAAATGGCAGCCACAATTTCCCTTCAGTTTCACACGGAAGATCCTTGTGCTGTGGTGGCAGCTGCTGCTAAAGCGACATTTTCAAAAATCTCCACAGCCCATGAAATCTCCAGTGGTCAATCGGAAGGCTTTCTGGGCAAAAGCCCCAGGTGCTCCCTGCCTTCTACAAGCATTTGGCACGTGCCAAGAAAGGGATTGGTGGTACCCACGCAAGACGTTTGGGACCCTTGATCGAGTGCATTTTAACCTCCTTTCTTCCATGGAACACATCAGGAGTATAGTTGGCTCCATAGCAGATAACCCTTTTCTACCTATCCAGGCTTTTTAAATCTCCCCTTCCTCCAATGAGGTCAGGGCAGCATTCACGATTTTCTCACCCCTCATTTGATTCCCTGCAAGCAATGTTCCCTCTAAGCTGTGGAGTCTCGTGAGCAAAAATTCTACTTTGTAAGCTACTGGCATTAAAGTTGTGAGTGAGCGATTTGGCTACTGCATGAATTAGCTTGCTCTGGAGCCCTCCTTCCTGAGCTAAGACAAAAATGTCTGAGCCGGAGGCTAAAAAACTGTGAGCTAGCTCACACTAACTCAGCTTAGAGGGAACACTGCCTGCTCAGTATGTCATGTTTAGAGAAAATGGCTCGCCTACAGTCACCCAGCGAGTTTCCTGGCAGAGTGGAGACTGGGCCCCAGTTCTCCATATTCCTAGTTCAGCATGTCAATCTGTATATCATCCTGGCTCCCTTTAACCCAAAGTACCGAGAATCATT